GTACATTTTTTTTACAATGCAAGAAAAAATTATTGTGTCCGATAGAGAGAAAAATCAAACTTAAATTATTTTGTCCTCACTTTTCGATCAAGTCACTTACAAAGACCTAGACAAAGAAAACAGAATTATGGAGTCTGGCATCAAGAAAAATCTTCAACTTAAGTTTCTAAAAAAAATTGGATAGAAAATTAATTAAAAATGAAAGTAACTTGATTGATTTTTTTCACTGATTCTTTTTATCTGTAACTTTTCGACCAAATTCACTTTTTCTCACAAAACCGAGAGTAAGTGAAGAAAACTATCTGAATATGAGATTATGAAAAGGGAAATGTTGAACTACTGTTCTGAATCTGTAGGGGAGACTGCTCCTGGCTTTCTTAACTTTCCACCCACTAAATATCAGCGCTTTAAACAAACACTGAAGGAATTCCTGGGGAAAATTGAATCCCCACTCAAGCTAAGAATCTCCAGGAAAAATTGTTCCAAAAGAAGGATTAAAAACCAATTTTTTTACATTCATTGCAATCTTCCCAGTTATGACGGGTAAAATTGAAAATAGGGCATGTAAATAGCTGATGCTTTTCATTAAGATCATTTAAAACATTATCACTACATTGAATCTCTCAAGCTAAGAAGCCATGGAAACCCATGAAGCTTCAAATCAGACTTATCCGAAATTTAATTTGATTAATAATTCTGAACCATTGAGGTAAACAAACATTGAAATATATAAAATTGTACAATTTGGATATTAACTATCACTAAACTTAATTTCTTTTTTTGTAACATATGAATTTTTTTCAAACCAACAAAAAAAAATGTTTTATGAATTATTAAATCGATTCGATTGTTGTATGACCATACATTGGGAGGCATAAAAATATGGGGGGGGGGCCGGGGGGGGTTTTGGTCGAGTACATAACAATACCTTCCCCCCCCCCCCATAACAATAAAAATTACGTATTACTTGAAAAAGATTGTTTTTATTGATTCAACATGAAAATGTTCTTATTGGAAACTAAGCCGAATTGAATGGCTTCACAAATATCAATATAAAACATAGTTCTACTTAAAGTCTTATTTTAAGACAATTCAATACTCTAAAAAATGATTCAATGGTTTCACCAATAGTTCAGAAAGAGCGTAAAATGATCGTCCTTGCTAAAGCTGATTCTATATTTACTATATTCAATATATTGTTCAGTTTATTGAAAAAATTGTTGTTTTGTGGCGGCTATGAAAGTCGTCTTTCCTAAGAAGAACCTTTCGCGGCAAGTAGAAGAATAGAAGGGAGTTTTCCAGAAGCCACGTCATGATATATATTTTCTACTTTGTAAACTTAGATAAAAAATATAGTTAGTCGTTATCTTATTTCTCGTCTTATTGCTATCCGCCAAAGTTTAAAACTTGAACTGATTGACCATGATTTTAAGTATTGAAATATAAAATGAGAAGTAGATTTTACAAAGATTTCTTTACTATAAAAAATGGGTTTCAACAATGATTTTTAATGGTGCTAAACGCGAATGTCTAGATTATGTTGTACTAAGCAATACCGATTTTGTGCATGATAGGTGAATATTTGAGTTTTTAATGAATAATAAGCCCTATATCAACAAGATGACGCAATTAAAAATAAGTCTTTTATATTGTTGTTAGGTTTTGTTTAGTTTTCTCTTTCTTTTTCTTTTTTAGTAAATTTATTTTTCTTATCTAGAAAAAATTAAGTTATGGTTTCTTTTAAAAACACTATGACAACATTTAAAAGTAAAGTATCACCCTATGCCATAAAAAAACACATAATTTAATCAAAAATACCAGCCATAATATTTAATTCCTTCAAGAGTATTAGATTCTTTTTGACTTCATTTAACTTAATTCAAACACCGTGTACATTTCAATTATGTAAAATGTTTATAAAAAATTATATCATTAAACATCAGGGAAAAATAAGCTGATAAAATTCAAGGTCCAAAATGACTAATCAACAACCAATTATGGGTTAAAAGAATGTCTGAAAATACTTAAAACACCACTACTTAGTGAATGTGCATCAAAACACAAATTTAATTGAATTTTCTAATTTATAGCTGATACAAACTTCATAAAAATTGACTTTGAAATCGACGAAATACCTTGGTTAATATGTTTATCAAGACTGTTTCTAGGCAGATTCTAAACACTAAAATACTATTTTATATTTAATAGTAAAACTTAAAAAATAATTCCAAAAGTAATTGTCATTCCTTTGAGTTTGGTAAAAACACAGTTTTGATGCAAAGAACAGAAAACAATCCATGATGAGATGATGATATTGATTATCATTTTGAGAGAAAAATATTTTTTTTTTTTGATATTTTGCCCCTTAGAGATGGGGAACAGTATATTTTTACTGATCTGGATCCAAGAAGGCAAAATGTTGCGAATCCTAAGCACACACTTCAACAGTTCTTTATTCATTATTTCCAAGCATCAAGAGCAATTTTATAAGATTAGACAAAACATTTGAGCCTTTGCCACAAACTCAAGTCTTATTTCCTAATCCCTTTATTCTAGCAACCCTATTTCGTAAACCTTAGATATGTCAAAATATGAAATCTACTGTATCAAATATTTTAAGCTTGAAATATCAAGTTTTACAGTATCTGAAGTCTGCAGGTTTAAGATATAGGGATGAGAAAAAATAAGTTTATGACAGGAAGATTAGTCCTTCAAGAAGAATAAGGGCGCATTTATTAACTTATGAATGAATTATTAAGTTAAAAGAAAGAGAAAAAATTGACTGAATAAGGGGATGGGTTAGTGAGGGAGGGGGGGAAATTAATGTCCTGATTCCATAATAAACTCTAAGATCTAATATTAATCATAATCGCATAATCGCATAATGTTGAATTCTAAAATAGTATTTCTTTTACAATATCTCACTGAAATATTCATTAAAGAGCACCCCCTTGGGCCGACCCCGTCCCCCCCTTAGCTCTTCATTTGTGCAGTGGGCTACGTAGAAAAACAATTAGTGAACCTACTAATAGTATTAATCTTTTTAAACGTTCTAATTAAAAAAAAAATTCTGAACGCATGTCAGATGTCAGATGATTTTAAGATCATATGATCAAATTTACACAATGTTAAAGAACTAGAAAAACAAGAAAAACTATTAAATTCAGGATAAGTAATGTAAAGCGTAATATCTATATCTATATATTAATTTAGTTGTCTGTCTGTTTATTTGTAACCTATAAACGTCAAAACGGCTGAACCGATCGGGCCCAAATTTTGTGTGGGGCCTCACGTGACCCCAAGGAAGGTTTAAGAAAGTTTTCAAAAATTAGTGTTTAAAAGATTTTTATTTTTGTATTTTGAAAATTCGCGAAAAAATATTATGAAATCCGCAAACTTTTTTGTTTTTGTAAAAGCCTAGTATGTATATAAAGTTGTAATCTCTTTTTGTTTTTCCGATCATAACTCAGAAACCCCTGGACCGATTTGATAGAGGAACTTAGGAGCCCACTTAAATGTTGTTAGCTTGGTTTTGAGATACTAAGTTTAGTAGGTTCAATATTTACAGGAAAAATAGCTAATATTATAATTTACGACAAAGGCGGGTAAACGGTGGAACTAACTATGACTTTCCTCGGACACGCTGGGTTCCCAAGCTAGTTGAACGAATAAATGTTTATTAATTCTTATCAAAAGTAAGGGTCCAGTGAGTTCCTATAAAAAAATTGGGTCTGATCGGTTCAGCCTTACTGGACTTTTTTAGTTTTACTTTTTTCTTCGTTAAAGAATGAGTCTAACCCCCTGGAACAGAACAATATCAATGACAAGAAGTAGTGCTGAGAATGTATTAAAATAAAAACGTTTATCTGACTTATAAAACAAATGCAATTCATGTTTTCTATTAACCTTACAATGTATGGCAGCGAGGAATTGGAAAATTTTCGATAATATAAAATTGCTCAGTTGTTGAAAACAGTGAACTTTGTCACCAACACCCTGTATCACTAAATCTTTGCAACATGATGGTGTAAGCTTTAGATAATTTGATCAACCGGAATGCAGTTTTGAAATATTTAAGGTCTTCGACAATGGGTTTGCAAATAAATAGGGATTTGAAAACCCGAGTTTGTGACAGCTCAATTCCTTTGGTTAAGTCATAATATGTAGTTTTATAAACAAAAAATATCAGATTAGATTTTCCTATAATGTAAACCATCATTTTTCAAATGGTATTAAATGGATGACATTTACAAAATAGCTGCACTGTATTTTAGCGTGACATTTCCATGGAATAGAATTTCCATATTTAAAGAAAAGGCTACTAACTTACTAGTGAGAAGGACTTTTAATTCAAATAATTTAAAAATTGATTCATTCAAACTAAATATTTTTTATGCATTGCAAATTCACACAAAACAAAAAATTTATCAAATTTTTCGAGCCAGAATAAAAAAATTTGACAACAAATATGGTTCTTTAAAAAACAAAATGCCCGTTGAATGGTTTAAGGAGTAAATGAATAATGTTCAGAAAAGAAGATTACCAATTACCAACTTTCTTAGGTGTTTTATTTTGACATTGACAAATTTAAAAGGAGAAAAAAGAATCACGAAAATTTTCTGATATCCAAGTAAATAAAGAAAGTTAATTAAATATTTAATCCGACCTCCGGAGCAAATCAAAAACTAATCTCGTAGCAGACATTAACTTTTTTTTAAAGAAATAACAAAACAAATTTTTTTTATAAAATTAATATTTAAGTTTCAGAATAAGATTAACGCAAAAAGTATAAATTCCGTATTTCTTAAATTATTAAAACTACATAACTTATTTATGCCCTGGATTTGGATATGCATTAGGGACAATTTTAAAACTACGGATCCAGAATCTTTGAGCAGAGGTAGAGCAGTTAGTTCTACACCTACTGTAGTAGGATAATCTTACCTTTGAGTAGGGGCAGAGCAATTAGTTCTACACCTACTGTAGTAGGATATTCTTACCTTTGAGTAGGGGCAGAGCAGTAAGCTCGACGTCTCCTCCTGTTCTGTATCGGGAACTGCCCTGGCTCTTCTTCTGTTTCTTCTTCAAGGATCTACAGGGACGGATTTTCATTCTCAATTTTCAACAAACAAAAGAAACAAAGATGCGAAAATATTGCTTAAAACAAAGATAAAATTAGTTTCCAAAAAAAAAAGAAAAAAGAAAAGTAAAAAGAATGATGCTCAAGAAATCCTACTCCTGCCTCTTTGCAAAAGGATCTATTCTATCAACAATCGTCCCGGAAGACATCCTGACAACCTGGAAATATAAAACACGTTAATCTATAAAATCCACCAGATTTTAACAAGCATCTTGGATCCGGATCCGCACTGTCGCGGCGTCCTAGATCCGGATCTGTGCTGCTTCAGCGCCCCGGATCTGCATTATTTAGAATCCGGATCAAGGTACTAACAATAAACATAAAATATAAAAAATCAGTATTTTCCCGCTTAAACATATCTTATGAACTATTATTAAAATAGATAATTACATAGATTTGTTCAAAATCATATAATTATAGGGAATTTAGGGAATACAAATTATAACAAATTAAAACAAATTTATCATCTTTGATTCCCCTTAGTATCTCCAATTCAGCGGTAAGACCCTATAAAAAATCAACCCCGACCTAACATTTTAAATAAAAAAAATTAATTACTTTCTTAAAGATGTTTTAGCAGTTTAGCAGTAAACAGTTAATAGGTGTATTTATATGTGTAAAATTGAAATTTTTCATTTAACTCAATTGTAATTGACAATTTTTCATTACTCGACACTTTCATTTTTATAAAAAAAAATAGGTCAGAGTTTTGTTGATTTCATCCTTTTACAAATCACAATAGCATTTAAACTTTAAACCATTTCTGTATATTATTAAAAAAAATTTCAAGAAAAATATAAAAGATGAAATCAGGGCTAAAAAGTTAAAAACTATGACATACGATAGCTTCACCTAAATGATTTAAATCTAATTACGTAAATCTGTTATTTATTTATTTTTACTTTTTTTTGTATTGTATTGGAACCAATTGTAGATTAAAAAATAAATCATAATAATTTTGCTGAAAATTAATGGTTATGTACAAAACTGATAAGGGGGGGGGGTCAAAAAATCGTATACTTGGACGGACCCTGCTTCCCTCTATCACATTACAATAAAGCTTATTAATTAAAAATCAGGTACATCAATATGATGGGGGTGGGGGGGATTAAAACTTATAGTTTAATAAGTGATAATAAACTTTTGTTTATAAATATAAAATTTTGTCTGCTTTTTTGTGTTTCAGAGGATCTCTTTTGATTGTTGTGAACACAAATATTTTCAAAAATGATATATTTTTCCATGACAATTGAGAAAACGTGCAATGCTATGAGATGAAAAAAATGCAAAATAATTTTTTGTTCCATTTATCATGTATGTTTAACTTATAGCTTGATATTAAATTGTGTCCAACCTTGACCTGCAGAAGTTAAAAATTGACGATTCTACGAGGATTTCAATATATGTCATTGAAGTGGTGGAAAATCACTTTTTCGACTTATTTTTCGACTAAACTTACATGAAAATAAAATAGTTTTCAACAATTTTTTAGAAAAATTTTAATATTAAGTCTTCTGGGGTTTCCAAAATGATATTAAACAACATTCCAAGTCAAAATTATAAGAGAGTTACAATTTTCAAAAAACTCAATAAAACGAAATTTTTTGAACTGTTCATTAATCGACCATTTTTGAAGGTATTTCAAAAAGTAATGACATTTTAGAATAAGTATAAAATATAGAAAATGAAAATAAAAATTAATTTTTTTTGTTCAGTTCTCAGGGTATGTTAGTGAGCAAGTGCGCATCAATAAAATCGATGATTTTGGGGCTAAAACTGCTTATAAAACTATGATTTTTCAAAATATTCCCTCCCCCCCCTCCTATCAATTTTGTACATGGGTCTGACAAGAAGTTTCTTAACTTAACCTAACCCGTGGCCGCAGCGCTCGGCCCAGAAAGTGTCTTAACTAACCTAACCTGTGGCCGCAGCGCTCGGCCCCCTAGCCATGTCCTAGCCGCAGCGCTCGGCCCAGAAAGTGTCTTAACTAACCTACCCCGTGGCCGCAGCGCTCGGCCCCCTAGCCCATCCTAGCCGCAGCGCTCGGCCCAGAAAGTNAATATTCAGTAAAAGTTGGTTTTATCTTTTAAACCATTATCTGGGATTTCCAAAATGATATGAAACATTATTCTCAGTCAAAAACTTTGGATTTTATAAAAGTTTTAAGAAATAAAATCAATAAAGTTCAAAAATGGCCAAAAAATCACGTTAATTCCGACGGCACCGGAAAAAATGGTGTAAAAAAATAATATTTTGGATTTTTCTTAGTTTCACATATTTCTATTCAATAGAAAAATTGCACCTCTGAACAATTTTTACAGGGCCGCCCTAGGGGGCCTGGGGGCGGGTTCAAAAATCGTTCTCTAAGAATATACTAATTCCAGCATAACATTTATGGGATGGGGAATTTAATTAATATAAAGACAAACATTCAGGGTGAAGTCAACTTTCATCCCAATAACGTCATACATAGTACTGCAGCATTAGTAAACAATTACCTTCTCAACTTGTGTTGGGTTAAAAACGAACGTTCATGTCACTCTTCTCTTCTTAGTTTATGCTTTCAACAGATTTGACTGAGATGAATTCACATGTTGAAGACAGCTAGGCTAGACATGAAATCAGTTTAACATACTAGATTTATCTGAAATATAAATAATCACGTTTTGATCATCTGACCGACACTGTGATCACAATGGAGGAATAACAAGTTATTTTTTCTTCAAACGAATAATGGGCGGGACATCACAGGATGGGTAAAAGGACTTTTAATGGCCTGAGGGGGCGGGGCAGTGGACAGGTGGAAGAGGGAGGTAGGTGGGCCCGGCTATAGTAGTTAGATTATATTTCTCTGGAGCAAAATGGCGACTTCTGGCCGGGCCGTGCCGAGATACCAGATATAGACGGGGGTAGAAAATAATTTTCAAAAAATTTATTTTTAAAATTAAGTATCAATAATATTTTAAGTTTAACAAGAAAAAAATGAGAAAAAAAATATTTATTTTTTTTAATCTACGCAATATGTTTCACCCGTTCCACCCCATTCCAGAACTAGTTTTATCCTTACTCGAGGGTACATACTTTCAGACATTATATTAGAACAAAATTAGTAATTAAAATATTTTTAAAGTTTACTTAAGTTCTATCTCTTCCACACAGGGGGGGGGGGGGGT